CTTTTGTTATTTTCAAGATCTGCAAGGATAAAGATGAAGCCGAAGTCTGGTTTACTGGTCTAAAAGCGCTTATATCACGTAGCCATCATCGGAAGGGGAGAATGGAATCAAGAAATAATGGAATATCATCCGAAGCAACCAGTCCTAGGGCATATACCCAAAGAAGTTCTCCTTTGAGCTCTCCATTTGGCAGTGGTGGCAGTTCACAGAAGGTGTTCTTTCTATTCTTCCGTCCTTTATGCTCTACTTGGTAGATATATATGTTAAGTGAGAGAATCCTTTTGTTGCTATTGCTAATATAGGATGAGGCAGATCCTGTTCGTCTACGCACTCCATACGGTAGCCCTCCCAAAGATGGTTTGGAGAAGGCATTATCTGATGTAATGTTATATTCTATGACTCCCAAGGTTTTATATCCCTCAGAGTCAGCTTCTGGGTCAATTCATTCTCTGTCATCAGCAGGCTCAGATGGAACAACTGGACATAGAAAAGGTATGAATGGGGATGCTTTCAGAGTCAGTTTATCTAGTGCTGTTAGTTCATCAAGTCAAGGCTCTGGCCACTATGATGGTGATTCTCTAGGGGATGTTTTTATTTGGGGGGAAGGCATTGGCGATGGTCTGTTGGGTGGGGGAAGTCAGAGAATTGAAAATTCATGTGGTGTTAAGATAGATTCTCTTCTTCCTAAAGCTCTGGAATCTGCCGTTGTTTTAGATGTTCAGAATTTAGCTTGTGGTGGGCAACATGCAGCTTTGGTAACCAAACAAGGAGAAGTTTTCTCTTGGGGAGAAGAATTTGGTGGTCGACTAGGACATGGTGTAGACTCTGATGTCTCCCATCCCAAGCTTATAGAAGCTCTTAAAAACGTCAACGTTGAACTTGTAGCATGTGGGGAGTATCATTCTTGTGCAGTAACACTTTCTGGTGAAATGTACATGTGGGGTGGTAATTCTTGCTATTTAGGGCTTCTAGGGCATGGACATCACACATGTCAGTGGGTTCCAAGAAAGTTAGATGGACCATTGGAGGGAATACATGTCTCCTCAGTTTCTTGTGGACCATGGCACACGGCTGTTGTAACTTCTGCTGGACAATTATTTACATTTGGTGATGGAACATTTGGTGTTCTAGGTCATGGTGATTGTAAAAGTGTGTCTATGCCCAGAGAAGTGGAGTCCCTTAAGGGCCTACGCACTGTACGAGCAGCTTGTGGTGTTTGGCACACTGCTGCAGTTGTTGAGGTTATGGTTGGGACTTCTGGTTCCAGCAATTGCTCCTCAGGAAAGATTTTCACATGGGGAGATGGAGATAGAGGTCGTCTTGGACATGGTGATAGAGAAGCTAGGCTGGTGCCTACTTGTGTTGCTTCTCTTGTAGAAGCCAACTTTTGTCAGGTCGCCTGTGGACACAGCCTGACTGTTGCACTTACAACAACTGGTCATGTTTACACCATTGGAAGCCCTGTGTATGGTCAGCTTGGGAATCCTCAAGCTGATGGAAAATTCCCTACTCGTGTTGAGGGGAAACTTCTGAAGAATTTTGTGGAAGAAATAGCTTGTGGTGCATATCATGTGGCTGTTTTAACTTCAAGGACTGAGGTTTACACTTGGGGAAAGGGTGGAAATGGTCGATTAGGCCATGGAGATATTAATGATAGAAATTCCCCGACGCTTGTTGAGGCTTTAAAAGATAAACAAGTCAAAAGTATTGTTTGTGGTGTTAATTTCACTGCAGCTATATGTCTTCATAAGTCAGTCTCTAGTGTTGATCAATCAAAGTGTTCTGGCTGCAATCTTCCATTCAATTTCAAAAGAAAACGTCACAATTGTTATAATTGTGGACTTGTCTTTTGCCATTCATGCAGCAGTAAAAAGTCTTGTAAGGCTTCCATGGCACCAAATACCAACAAACCTTACCGTGTCTGTGATAATTGCTTTGCCAAACTTACAAAAGCTTCTGAAACCTGCTCTTCTGTCCGCTCTACTCTTAGTAGAAGAGGAAGCATGAATCAGGGATTAAATGAAGTTGTTGAAAATAGTGAGAAGCTGGGCTCAAGAACCCATGGCCTACTCAGCAGAAATGCTTCTATTGAATCTTCTAAAGAATTGGAAGGTGGATTTTCCAAAAGAAACAAGAAATTAGAACTTAATAGCAATCGGGTTTCACCCTTACCAAATGGTGCTTCTCAATTGACCATGCATAACAACTCCAAAATTCCCAATGCTCTATTTGGGTCATCAAAGAAATTTTTCTCTGCTTCTCTTCCAGGATCGAGAATTGTATCTCGAGCTACATCACCTACATCCAGGCGATCCAGTCCACCCCGTTCCACAACACCTACACCAATTGTGTCAGGGTTTTCATCAATAAAAGTTGTTGATGTTGCAAAAAGGACAAATGAAAGTCTGAGTGAGGAAGCACTTGAATTAAGAAATCAGGTATGTACATTATTATTGGAATATCAGTTGTCTGTTTGTGTGTTAATGTTGTACTCTTTTCACTTATAAACATGTGATGTTTCTCGTTGAGGTCCTTGCAGAAGTTTGATGGTATGTACTTCAATGCATCAATAGATGAATATTTGTTGATATGTTTGATTATGATGATCATTCAAATATTTGGAACTTAAAATTTATGTCTGGCCCTTGGTACAGGGGCTTGCAGTTCTCTGAGCTGTTTGTGCAACAGAATTCACTAATCTCAATATCTTATATTGAAATAAATGCTAGTAGTTTTCGCTGGTTTAGAGCTGTTGCCATCAGATTGTTGCCCAGGCCCCAATCCCTCTTATCCTAAATTCCTAATAAAATCCCTTTTGGAACTTTTATAAACTTATCCGAATAATATATATATAATCTATTTCTCGTCTTGTTTTTCTTTTCTTTAAAGTACGTACTTTTGAGTAAAGATCTTCGCATATCCAAGGCTCATTTAAAGCAAGATGGATAAAATATTGATAAGTAGCATTTTAAGTATCTGATTTCTTGGTTGCTTACATAAGACTATCTCTTCTTAAACACTTTTAGTTGGTTGCCTTGCTGTCTTGTTGCATTACCATGAACTATTCATATAACTTACCAGTGACCATTAAACAATTTCAAATTTCAAAATAATATGCTTGCATATCTGATCAATGTCAGTTGCAGATTTTGATCCTTGACATTTTGTATAGCTAATTGACTGTAAAATGTAGGTTGAAGTACTTACTCGTAAAGCACAACTTCAAGAAGTCGAGCTGGAAAGAGTAACTAAACAGCTGAAGGAAGCCATAGCATTGGCAGCAGAAGAAACTGCAAAATGCAAAGCAGCAAAGGAAGTAATCAAGTCACTTACTGCTCAAGTATGTAACTTCTCTTCCAAAACCTTTACATGTTTAGTTTTTTTATGTTGTAGTATTATTGAGTATTACTTCTCCATGCAGCCGAGCTAAACATTTTAGATTGTTACTTAACTGAAATGTGGCCTTTTTGACTTATTTTTGGCAGTTGAAGGACATGGCTGAAAGGTTACCAATTGGAGCAGCAAGAAGCAGCAATTCACCTTCCTTTTCTTATCATAGCTCAACTCCTCCTCAGGATGTTTCTTGTGTACCTAGTGAGCAATCTGGTAGTCCCAGTCCGACAAGTTGCCATGATATGGATTCAAATGGATTGAACAGCCTGGTGATTTCTAATGGGTCAGGAAGCAACAATAACTACCCATCAATTAATCCTGAAGTGGGGAATTCTGATACAACATCAAAGAATAAGAACAGAGCAACAAAAACTGAACCCAATCATGGGGATGAATGGGTTGAGCAAGATGAGCCAGGTGTATATATCACGCTTGTTGCTTTGCCTGGAGGGGCAAAAGATCTTAAGCGTGTACGATTCAGGTAAGTAACTAATTGGCTACTCATTTCTGTCTCTAAGATACCATGGATTCTTTGAATCAGACAAGGGCTCAGCCTCTAAACTCTCACCATGTGGCTTGTGAATATCCTGTATTCACGTTTTCTAGGTCCTGATCATAGAAGGATAAAATTATATAAACATGGATCCATAGCTAGTTTGTTTAGCCTTTTCTCCTAAATCAAGTAGGGAGGATACACAGCTTGTGCCACTCACACAACGTGGGAGGCATCTATAAATATTTTTTCTGACTTATCTATGAAGTTCATTTACCAGTTGGTGCATTATTTTTCCTGTGTCTGCAGCCGAAAGCGCTTCACTGAGAAACAAGCAGAACAATGGTGGGCGGCAAACAGGGCCAGGGTATACCAGCGTTATAACGTTCCCATGGTTGAAAAGCCCAGTATTGGCATAGGGAGGGAGGGGTTAGCTCATTGACTCAGCAGAAGATTCAGGCTTCAGGATCTGAAGTTTGGTGTTCTTTGGAGACTGAAGAACAGGCTAGATGCCCCCCATTTTGTGGATAATTTGTCCACTCAAATTCTCTCCTGTTTCTTTGGAAGAATTGATAGCCTGACGGATAGAATTCTTTGTAAGTAGGCTGGTCGTTGTAATCAAAATAGCTTTGTAAATTCTTGAGAAAATTATCACTAACAATTTAGAGCGTACGGCATTCATAAACTGGATGCGTGTTCCATGTTTTTTTGTAGGCTGTCTCGCCTCCACCTTTTTCCTTACGGGTATTAAATTTTCATTTTCTACTCTTCTTTTAGAGTCCGCTGCTTTGTCATTTAGACTTCAACAGACTGTCAGATACCCATTTAACAGTTAGCATTATACAGTTTAATTATTGTATTCTCATTTAATGTTATATAGTCTAATTATTTCAAGGAGGGTTTCCCATCTTTGTGGGAGTGACGGCCTGCATTTAATTGTTCTTGAGACATGTAAAATGATTCAATTGTTAAATATCTTCCATTCAGAAATATTCTTGGGTTAACAAAATTGAATCAAAAATTCCCTTTTTCCATTCCTCTTCTATAAAATGAAACTATGAATTTCTATACATACTGAACCTATATAACAAAAGTGTAAAGGGAAAATTGAAAAAGAAAGTAAAAAATCATAAATCGGTATCTATGGCATTGTATCTGTATCTTGTTCTATCATGTGATGAATCAAAATTTTCAATTCCCTTTCTCTTGTTGCCATTGAATTCTGTTTCTTTTGATCTTCCTTTCAACAAATGAGGCTTCAGCTTCTTTACATCTGATAATTGAACTGGTTTTAGAAAGAAATCTTCAGCTCCATCTTCCAAACATCTGATCCAAAATCAAGCACCCACAAATAATGTCAGATTCACATCCAATCCAAGAAGTCATTCCCATTTTGTGTGTGTGTGTGTGTGTGTGTGTGTTTTTCAATTTGGAATTGTTCCTTACCTGTTAATTCTTGATGGAACATTCTCGGAGGACATGATCACAACTGGGATGTCTTTTAAGGATTCAGATTCCTACAAAAACCAGATCCCCTGTTCTATTCAGATTCAATCAAATTCCTTATCTGATGTTTCTGAATTAATCCCAAATAAAAAATTTACCTTAATCTTTCTTAGGAGATCATAACCTGTCATCCCTGGCATGCAATAATCTGTAATAATCAGATTAACTTCTACATCTTGACGATGAATATGTTCATCAGGAGAAACAGATGCTGGGTTTAAATTTCTCTGTTCATCTTCTTCATATAAACCCAGAAACTCCAATGCCTTACTTCCTGAATCCACAACGGTAACTGCAAAAACAGAACATTTTCCATCACTAATTAAAACTTTCCCAGGAAACAAACAATTCAATTCGGAATTTTCCCACAAAGGAAGAAAAAAAAAAACCTCACCTTGATAAGAGGAAATCTTGAGAAGCCTCTCAATCAATTTTCTGTCGAACTGGCTGTCGTCAACAGCCAGAACATGAAATGGGGTCTCTGCCACCGTGCCCATTTGTGCAGGTTTGATTGAGAAGAAGAAAGGAAGAAAAGCAGATGGGGAAAAAAGGAGTAAGAAAGGGAGAGTTTTAAATAGGAGGCCATGTCAATACAGAGATGGTTGTGGAAATCAGACAGTTTGGAAAGCAAGATCCGGCAGATTTGATGCAGGATCTTCTTGTTTGATTTTTGAATTGGACGACAAGAAAAAGAGGTGGGTGCTGCTGTTTTGTGGATTTCTAAAGATTTGATTTTTCTACTTAACATCATACAGTGCTAATAATTTTCATTCCATTTGACTCTTCGCCCCCGTTTGGGGCCGCATTGCCGCCTTTTTCCTTTGTCTTAAGGGTACAATTGTGAAAGGGACAATTCCACCCCTCAACTTTAACAAAGTTATAAGTTTACTACATAAATAATTTCATTGCTGAATAATTTTTTTTTCTTTTTTCTTTTTATCTTGAATTGTATAGTAGGAGACAAATTTCTTTTATCCCTTAACCCATCCCACCTACATATCATGAAATTCAAATCTAATATCTCTTACTTTTACAAAAGAAAAATTATCACTAAATTATTTAAGTTATTGAATTAAATAAGGCCTTATTCTTCACAAAACAATATACTATAATAAATATTTCCAAAATTAATGAAAAAAATCCATGTGAACTTTTATTATGGTTTTATTAAGGTTTTTTTTTTCTTTTTTGTTTGAAGAAGTTGACACTTAATCCCCCAAGTACAATATCCTAAAATGATATTTTTAATATAATTATGTTTTGGATATTAATAGGTGCAGTCGCGTATTCAACACTAGGTGGGACACATCACATAAAATATAATTTTATTAGTCAATTTGGAATAGGGGTTGAAATACTGAACCTCGCAATTATTTAGTCTATTCTTGTTACCAAACATATTGGAAATAGGTGCCTCCCTTATTCATCTTTTCCCTATGAACCCAACACTTTTTCAATACCTTTCTTCTACCCATTTTTGGCTACATTTCTCTTCCCCCCTTTCCCCCCTCCCTTGCTGTGATTGGGTTTGCGTGAACACAGTGCTGTGTTTGCACAAACATAGATGATTTGGGTTCGAGATAGATCTAGGTTCCTCATGAACCCATATCTAAAGCAACATATGAACTCAGTTCACTCAACTAGAAAAGGTGTTGAACATTGGTCAAATGCCACCAACAATCATCTTTGAAGCACCCAATAAACAAAAACTTTCAGAAAAGTAGCAAAAATATCCATTTAAATGGAAAATTGAATCTAGAACATGTTACACTTCAAACCTCAAAGTCAACATTTTTAACAATAGATTCCTAGAATAACAAAAAAAAAAAAAAAAAAAAAAACCTATAGAATGGCTAAGATTACAAAAGAGGGATTTGTTGGCGCAACCACTTTAATTGGTGCATTCTTCCTTCAATTGCAATTCGAAGAAAGGCAAAATACACTTTTTGAGAAAAAAAAAAAAAAAA